CAGGCGGAGCAGCCGCGTCGCCATCTTACGGGACAGGGCAGGGCGGCAGCGCCGCTGGAGCCCCGCGAGTTATCCCTGAGCCCGCCTACCTACGGCTGGAAATCTCTTCCGGGCTGGAGGCGGGAGGATAGTGAAACATCAGCGTAATTGATATTTTTCTCATGGAGCGTTGCAATCGCGTCTAGAGGGCAGCGGGAGCAAAGGTGACAGCCAGACGAAGGGGTTGTGCACTGAAGGCGGCTCGTGTGATGGCACGACCATCGTGTCACCCCATCGTGTGAGGGGCGACCCTCCGGTCATGGCTCCATCCTCCTCCTCCGGAGCCCTCAGGAAAGGGGCTGACAGCCCCCCAGCATGGCGGGAAGCTGAGCTCCCTCCCCTGAGGGCTGCCCCTCACAGAGCCTTTTCGCCATTTTGCCTTCGCGGCCCCGGCCCTCCTGCTGGCAGCGGGTTTCGATTCGCAGAACCTGCCTGTGAAAAACGAGGTTCACGTAATTTTTATAGAATTTAAAAGTTTAATGAAAAGGACAATTGGGAGAAAAAATAAAGTATATAAATACGGCCGGGTGTCTCTGCATTCAGCCAAGAGAGCACACCTTAGTGACAAAGGATTGTCCCTTAAAAACAGAACCCTACTACATATCCATAAATTCTCATCCATATTCATACATTCTTCTTAGGATCTTTGGTGTTCTTCTGTTTAGTTTTCTCTTGCCCCCTTCCCAATAGATCAATATTCTTGGCGCCATTGAGATTTACGTTCCCTGATACCAGAAATGCAATAAATTCTTCCCCCAGAGTTCTGGTCACTGCTGTCTTCATCTGGATAAGATAGTTTACAAATGCAGGAGTTCTCTAGCTATTTTTTTTTCCTCAGTCTTTGGGTTATACAAACAAAAGCAGTTTTTATTTTAATACTATGCCATAGCCTAACATATATGTATTATACTACTATTTCTAAATTTCATCAATAACAGAAATAAAGAAAACTATATTTATACAACAAAATTTCTCATATAACATTCATTTTAATATTTGCAAAAAGCCAACAATATAAAAAGTATCTATAACACTGCCCAATAAAATGATTTAGCACCCTTTTGTGCGTGTGTTTTATGGGGTATGTTTGTTTGTGGTTTTTTGGTTTGGGTTTTTTTGTTGTTTTGTTTATTTTTTTGGGGTTCTCTAAATTCGGTTGTTTATGATTATCTTGTGTAGGGGCTTTCTAAAGGATGCAGGTTGTTCTGTTGTTATCCTTTGCACAGCATCAATTCACACACTGAGGCAAGGTATTTATATTTTTTAATTCTAGTTTGCATAAAGTAGGGACCTAGGTGGTAACCCATAAAAGGCTATTTCCCAATTCATCAAAGCTTTACACTATAGACTTTAACAGACAAAGGTGTACATTTCATTACATAACCTCTTTATTGATTAGTACTCAACCCCCTATTTGCTAGTTGTATCTCTCACTTCTCACACAAATTAGTCCTCATGTGCAGTTCTTCCCTCTGTTTGATTCTTGGGTCTATTTTGAATACTTTGAGTCTCCCACTGCCAGAATTACCTTTCCTCCAGTTACTGCAATGCTCATAACTGTACTGATTAACAATTAAAAAAAAAAAAATCAAAAAAAATCGAGGTTTTACTCAGTTATTCACATTTTGGAGGGGGCTCGATATCGTAGCAGGCATTTCTCTAAGGAAGAGCAAACCATTGGAAGTTGGGACAAGGATGAAGATTTAATAGTCTGCTCATAGTTCTTCATCCCTTTGGCTCCTGAGGACACTGTGCTGCAGGGGGAACAGTCCTGACAGAGGATACTCTCCCAAAGCAGGCATTTTGGGAGAGTTCTGAGTCTTTAATGAACATCTTTCTCCTCTTTTACCAACAATAGCCTGACTTACAAACTGATACAACTAGATATGCACATAGATCTGATATCTAGATCTGATATCTAGGAAGTATGTGTTACCAATCATCATTAAATATGGGGTTAAAATTATATACAGTTCTCATAATTGAGGCTTTACATACTTCCCTCACTTCCTGTGTGGTGTTGTGGAACTTTCAGGAATTCTCTGGAGTCATAAGGTGACACAAAGAAAATTCAGCAAAAAGGAAGTTTTGAACCTTGATGTTTGTTGAGAAATAAAACAAATGGTGAAAAGTCTCAAAGTGAAAATTGGACCAGAACATATTTTTCAAAACTTCATAATTTTAAACTAACTTTAACTTTATTGGGAGTGAATTATACAAAATCTGTTGAAAGAATACTTGTGGCTTGGGTGTTTTTTTTATATTGATCCATAGTCTAAACCTGTTGCAAAATTTTTTAACATATATAAAAAATATTTTCAGCTACTGTGTTCCTCCACCTAAAGCCAGGAGATGGCACTAGGGGAATAGCTATTCCTATGGATGGGCCTGTCTGAAAGCAGCAGTGCCTCTCGACCAGGGATGGTGTTTTCCGTGTGGCACATTAGCAATACACAGAGCTGTCTGTACTTACAGGCAGGAACATCTGCATTACAAATCCAGCTGCAGCCTGGAAACTTATCCTGTCTTTTCATTTGGGAGTCTGACCTCATATTATTATATCAGAGTAGGCAGGAGGGAACCATGCAGGAGCAGTTGAGAGGGAAGAAGTAGAAAGGAGATTGTTGGGAATTACTTGGATGCCTAGAGGTAAAATTTGGCTGTGTTTATGAGGTCCTGTCAGGTACAGCCTCCTGGAAAATTCTTTCCTTAAGCTAGTGTAGGCTTCTGGGTAAGCCCAACACCTTGCTCATAGGTCTGTCAGCAAGCAGAAGCCACAAAAAAGTAAACTTCATTCAGGCTTCAAGGATCAGTTTCTGGGATCAGGAAATACCTTAAACAGACAGTGGAAATCAGATTGACCTCTGGCATTCTTTGGGGAAGAAGGGTGGCTACAAAAAAATAGGACATTAAGGACAATCTTTCTCCTTTTTAATGTGCTTGCAGGAAACAGAGTAGAAGTAGATGACTGCAACAGGACAGAGAGTGTGAATCATTGTTACTCCTCAAAGATGCTGTTTCCAGTTCAGGATGTGCTTTTCTTGCCTAATGGGTCTTTACAGAGACACAGCAGAGCCAGGGGTAAGTGACAGTACTGTCCTTTCTTGCCCTGTCTGGTCCCTGCACCTCTGTTCCTCCTGGAGCCATAGTCACAGATCCCTAATTCTTATTTTTCAGCCCATCATGGTGATATTTTCTCTTTGTTATGGTCATCTCCCATAGCAGTACATGATCTGTCCCTCCTTCCTGAACTCTGGTATAGGTGTCTCAGGACAGGATAGGGTTTGCCCTAGGTTATTGGTGTAAATTGTCCAAGTTAGTAGTTCTCCCCTGCTGGGTTAGTGACAGATAGTTTCCTTTGACACTCCAAACTGCCCAGATCTGTTTTACTCTGTGATAAACATTGCCGCTGCCGGCATACCCAGAGGTAACAATATCCACCCCTCTGGTATTAGAACTGTTGCCAGTGTAATGTAAAGACACCAAGTCAGAGGGCTCCCCCACGGTGTGTACAGCCCTGACCTGAGGGCTTTGTGACATTTGGGCTTTGCTATGAGTTAGTTTAGTTGAGCAGTCTCTTTTCAGTCACTCATTTATTTATTTATTTTTTTTCCATTATTTTCAGTGTTAGTAAGTCATTGCTACAGCTGGAAAGGATCTGCGTTCTCTTCAATGTCTGCTTTGCTGTGAGCAATGTCTAACATGTTTACTGCAGTGAATGGAATTTAAAACATTATCTTGCTGACAAAAATGCACATGGCCTTGCTAGATACCAAGTTAGCAAATAGAGGAATTGTAGGTTACCTGGAGGAAAAGTGTTCAAAGCCCTGTGGGTAAGACAGGTTGAAATGAAAATTTGGTCTGTTTTTGTCAAACTTAATGTTCATCTGAGAAACATGTATTCTCCAGACATGTACAAGTATATTTAGGTAAGAACAGCCATATAAAAAGAATTATCAGTTTTTAAGAAGAGATAATTTTTGTAGTCTTTCATTCCCACCGCAAAGTAAAAGAACTTTTAAAGGAATTGGATTTTATTTTGATAACAGACAACTTAATGTGAAAAACTACTAGTTAATGTAGCCCTTGGACGCAACTGTCCTAATTTTTCTCAGAGCTTTATTGTCATGTGCCTGCCTTTGAGTAATGTTTGCTCTCTAAGGTACAAATCTAAGTGGGAGATCTGCTTAGAGGTATGTTCTTGAATGATCAGCCATTCTGAGCAGCTCCCCTGACAGCTGTTGCCACCGTGTCCCATCCCTGGGGGTGATTTCTGGCAGACAGCTGTCTCTGTATCTGGGTAACAGAAGCTCCTGCTCAAACAGCCGTGGTTAGCCGTGTTCCTCTCTTTTGCCACTCGTGCTGGTGATATTATCTGTAAAGCCAAGCTGCAGGATCTGGCCAGAGGCTTTGAAAGCACAACAATGGGCAGCACTGGCCCCTCTCACAAAGCACGCTAATTCCTTTTTAGACTTTCAGTCTGTGTTGCAAAGAGTGAGCCCAACTGTTCGTATCAACATTGATGATATGAATAGCCTAGAGGTTTGGTTTCTGAGTAGGTTATTTAAAGCTGATGTGCTGTCTTTTTTTCAAGAAGAATACAGTGCCAATTTAGCATGGGTACCCATCAGGGGACCTCCATGTTCTTCGTCCAACTTTTTTGTGTTGGCATTATAGTGCAGGGAGAGCTGGAATAAGATGCAGGGCTCTCAGCTTACTCCTCCCTTGATACGTGACTCTCTGACTCTCCTCAGTGTGCCTTTTCATGGGGTCACACAGTGTCAGTCATGTGGGCATGAGACAATGTGACAGAAACAAGCAGCAGTGGATGGCCACGGCTTCGAGTGGGCATGGGCCCCTGGTAGCCAGCTCTCATTCCTCCCTCCTGGCAGAGCACCACGGCACTGACCACATGTAGCATATAGGCACATAGCTGGTGGGAGAGCCATCTCCTTCAGCACATGCCTAGGAGCACCAGAGAGATCCCACAGCCCTTCAAGGCCTGTGTGTGAGGTCCAGCATTAGCTGGGAATCAGCAGAAAGAGGCATGTGGGAGTCAAGCGTGGGAGTCTCATGAGCTGAGAATGAGACTTGGCAGGTTTGAAGGTGATGGTGGCAGGTGATATCTCACCATTGGACAGATTTTGTATTCCCTGGCTCTTCCAACATGAAACCTCAAACTAAGATGTTTTAAAAAGGTTGCTAATCTGGGATGCTGTCCTGAAGTCCATGCAGGCATATCTTTATCTGTTATTTAGACAGCTGTCAGCAGTTCTCAGCACACAGCAGCACCGATTTGGAGCTTGACCATATGAGTTGTGCAGTAAATTATTTCAAAACCACTTCTACAAAAGCTGAAGTTTCAGGGAGCACTCCCAATGAAGATAGAAGTTACACACCGAAGGCCTGGTTTCCTCTGTGGGAAGAATTTGTTAAGTCTGATACCAAAGAAGGAAGCTTCATGTACTCAGGTGTTCATCAGTATGCATTTATGTTAGCATGAGGCACAGGGTAAAACTCTCAAAAAGGGCTATGAAGAATTCAAATTTTCAGTGAAGTTTGTCCCTTGATGCATTTTGTCCTATGTAAATCAGCTGCAGACCATAAAAAATGCACTTGATTTTTTGAGCAACATAGACCAGAAGAGCAGTTTGTGAATATAAAAGGCACATAAAGGCACTTGCTGAACACAGCAGACATGAACAAACTTAAGGTTTTGCTGAAGGTTGAAAGCATTGCAAACAGGGCTGCATGAGTAAGGCATTATCTCCCAGAAAAGAACTACTCCCCTGATGTGTAATAAGCATTATAGTTGTATTAGGATGAAATTATACTTCTGTACTTTTTATTGTATCAGAATCAAAATGAGTGGCAACCCGTGTTGTGTTGTTAAATACTTCTAATAGTGTTTTAAAGCATCTCTGTTCAGGTACTATCAATGCTTACAGTTTCAGACTTCATGTTTCTTATTGGTTTGCTATTTAGGAGAAAGCCACTCCATTTGGCTGATTTAACAGAGCTCAAATTATAAAGACTACACTGAGATGAACTACTTTTTCTTCAGAAGTGGCAAGTAGTTTTGAAACTAGGGTTTCCTAATCCTAAATTCTGTAGTTTTACTGCTCTTTTAACACTCTTGTTGTTTTTTTTCCCTTTAAATGTGCAGAATACACATGGATAATTTCATGTACTGGTAACTGGGCTTTGGATACAGTAGCTCTAAGGAGCTACACAGTATTTCCTTGGAGTAAGTGTTTCCTCTAAAGAGGAAAGGGCTTCAATAGCTCCCTTTTCTTTTGCCAGTGAGAGGAAATTGATAATTGATACCAGTGGGTGTAAGTGAAAAAAAGAGAATTGTTAATTAACAAAAAAAAAAAAGAAAAAAAGGGGGGGGGGGGTGCCTACAAGGCACAGAAAATTATTGAATAAATGCTGGTTATGAACTCCAGAAAACTTGCCCTCCACCTACCCACACACCTCTACACACCCACCCACAGCAGAACAACAAGAAAAAAACACTCAAAAAATACAAAAAAATGCCTGGGGAGGAAAAATACATGGGCTGACCACATGGCCTGGAAAAGAAAATGCTGACTGGTCCATTTTATCTCCAGGAAGGTGAAGAGGAATTCACTTGCTAAGAAGGTAAATGAGTCCTGCTCTTATGAAAATGTGTTTTTGCTGTGTGGCCTTCATACCATGCACATGTTCAATTAACTGCTGGTTTTTATCCTACCAGAGGTGAGCAAGAGATACAGTGAGAGCATCAACCTTAACTCTGAATACCAGGTACACTCCTGATTGACTTAAGGGACAGACCAGAAGAAACCTTTTAAGGTAATGAGGCAGAAGTGTTTTATTTGTTGTCTTCTAAAAACTGACTTAGCTTTTGAAATAGGATGGTTACAGATGAGAAACTCTGAACTGAAACCAACTTTTTAAACTAATGAAGCAGTTAATAAGCACTGTCGTTTGCATGAAGGGGAACAACTTAAAAAATGATAGTGTTCAGTATAGTGTGGAGTAAAAAATATGTCTGTTTTTGTGTCACAAAGAGCCAAAGAAAATGCCTTCCTGAGCAAATAGTCTGGAGAGCTGATACTTAGAAATATAAGAGAAAACCTAAGTTGGTTTTGTGTCTCTGAGTTGGTAAATCTGAGGAATGTAATAGTCTAAGTAGAAGCCCAGGCTGTGAATTCAGGTGTACATGGCATGATAATATATATTATATATAATATGTTCTTGATGTACCTTGAATGATGCAGAATTCTAAACTGGGTAACAAAAGCATAGGAAGCAACTGATCCCTTTTACCTGGAAGGAGTTTCATCTTTCTCTTATTTTTGCTGGGTTGGGAATTCAAAAATTCCAAAAATTTCAGGGTTTTCTTGAGCCTTGGAATTGGAAAGAGCTGTTCCTCTTCAGAGAAGAGAGACTTCTTAGTGAGCCCTGAGTATCAGGAACTCTGGAAAACAATATAGAAACTTTATTTGCTTACTGGATCTCTACACGTTAATGATAGGGTGGATAGCAATTCCTTTTTAGCTTTTAAAGCTTTCTTCAGTCATAATTTCTTGTAAAGATTTAAAATTGTCTCACAGGCTCTCTGTATCCTCTGCTCCAAGCATTTGTTGCTAAGTGGTGGCCCCAGACACACTTAATGTTCTGCAGGGTGGATGAGGGTTATGTTCTTATGACTGGCTAATTAGTTAGGCTCTAGGAAATCAAATATCACCATCCTCACTGTAGCTGTGGGCAGACAGTCACTGTCATGCACTGTTTGCAGAGGATGTGACTGAAGGACACATCCAATGGGCTTTTCTGTGACAATAAAGTTAAACTTTTTGAGGTTGCAAACTGTGCTGGACTGACCTTCCTTCCTACAAGGTATACTTGACTACCTGACTATACTATATACTACTACTAATGGGTTCTTCATTATTTTCTCTTCCTCTGTATCCAGCTATGAAAAATTAAGTATGGCCATGCTCTTGAGGTTTTTTAACAGGGGCTCATGCAACTCTGCCAATTCCAGAAGGGCTTTGAATTCATGAAAATTCATTTACCATGAAAAGGAGCTAATTTTTAAATGGGTTGTATTGCAAGGCCTTCCCTTCAGTGCAAGCATTCTGTGGCTGCTAACTGCAAATCTGCATGAAGTGTGAATCAAGTTTCAAGACCAAAACCTTCAAAATGTGATTGGCTTAAGTGCAGGAGACCTTTTTTCCCCAATCTGTAACAAATTAAGGTGCTTTGTTTCTTCACATTTTCACATCCAAGCCTGGTTCACAAATCTCATGGCAACCACGAGAGAGACATTTACTCCATATGATAAGGTGGAATACTCCTTGCATGGGGTTTTCATGGGGTTTACTTGTCATTTCTGGTTTTTTACTTGTCATTTTTGGTTCTTGTAGCAGAGCCATGGAAGAACAACCTCCAGTGTGGCAAGGTGTGTGCATGTTAAGCATTACTCCTCACTTTTGGTTTTCTTAAGGATCTGCCTTCATGGAAAATGGATGTGACCCGTGCTACATAGCCCTGTCCTGCTAGGTAAGATCAAAAGTGGTTGGAAATTGTTCCAACCTACATGCTCTGATGGACACTAAAGGCACAACAGTCAGTTTCTTTTGTTTCCCAGCAGACAACAGGGAGGTGAGAAGGAAAAAAGGTCAGCACAGGGAAAAGGGCACCACAAAAGTATTCAAGGTGGCTATGGAGAGCATAACTGCTGAGCCAGTGTGAGGTGCTGCTTTTACCACTGGCTTTCTCAGGACTTTGTGCTGTCTCCTGGTCCCTCTCATAATGTGCTCTTCATTGACCACTTTTACTCACAAGACCACAAAGTGAGTAAGCTCACAAGTGAGCTTCAAAGGATATTTGTGAGGTTGAGCACGAGCTGAATTCCTTGCAGCCACTGACTGCAATTCATCCTGTGACATTTCTCTGTGCCTAAATGCCTTTCATCCAGCATAAGACTGTACTCTCCACCAAAATAAATGGTGCATGTAAACTAAGGAGACATGGTGAAAGTGAATTTTTATGTTTTTCATGCTGCTGAGGAAATACAGCATGGATGTTTTTTATTGCTTTTATCAATCTGCCTCATTCATTTCTTAATGCAATGCCTTTCCAGAGGGCTGGCAATAGCCTTTCTTTTACAACAAGCAGTTTGATTTTGGAGTGCTGCTACCCATTATTGCTACATTGGTGGAGAAATGATAGTTTATGAACTAATCTATACCATCCTCCCAAACCATAGATTTTGGTAATGTAGAATTCAGTTTAATGCTTTAATAAACCATGGTCTGATATGCACTGTGCCAATTAGTTTAGAAGGTAGATGTGTGTGAAATTTGATATTTTCAGCAACATTTGATACTTCATTTTAAAGTAAATTTAAGTGCCTGGGTAAATGAAGGTATTGCATTTTTTTGTTATAAAATAAATGATAAATAACAGGTTACTAAAGAAATATCTTTTCTCTGTTAAATATTTGAGCACTTGCTTGTATCCCTGTGAAAGTCTGCCTCCCTGGCATAAGAAGGGAGTAGATTTAAATCTGTGGAAAGATTGCATTAAGACAGTACTCGTGTGGTGGTTAAAACCAGCTGGGAATTAAATTCCAAATTAATTGCTCCCCTCCCCCTGCCCCCTCTGGTGTGAGAGGGACAAAGGCAGAGATTATGGATTGAGATAAAAAACAGCAAAAGGATGAACAATTAACAAGCAACAGTATCAATAACAAAAGTATCTAAAAGAGAGGGTGATTTAAACAGTGAGGCAGAATCTAGAATGCTGGCCACTGCTAATTTCACAGAGGAAGAAACAGAACAAAATGACACATGTTCACCTTTATTTTTCCCCTGACTGATTTGAGTGGCATAGAATAGCAACCTGGTCATACACACTTGGGTCTAAGTTCCACCCATTTCTAGAGACCTGCAAGCAAAACTGGAACAACTCAGAAGAATGGTGCTTAAATGTGTTGCGTTTAAATCTGAAATTTGCTTGAAAACATGCTGAAGTGGAACAATTGTTCTTGTAATAATGGTATGCAGTGCCATAAGAGGGGAGCTAAAAGGAAAACCTTTTGCTGTTGAAGCAAGTTTACTTCACAGGGAAGGTTACATTTGTGGATTTTCTTCTCACAGGAGGGTTGTGTATACTGTGGCTTTTTAAAAATACCTCAGCTTTAGTGTAAATGAAACAGATAGGAAGGCTGAAAGGTCTTAGTGATGTGAACAGTCAAGTTTGCCTGCTAAAAAAGGAAGTCTTTGCTAAACTTTCTTCTCCTGGGTTTGCCCTTGCACCATGAGGGTCAGGGCTAGCAGATGTGTGTGAAGGACACAGGTGATGTTATAGCCTGTTGTACATCCTCCATTTCTTGTTCTGTAGGTGGGAGAAATGATCAGTGTCTAGCATCTCCTGGAAATGAGAAAAGAGAGCCACACACAGAGGGTTTTGAGGAGACACGTCTGAACAATCTTTGCCCAAAGTGGGTGGAGTTCACTGTATTCAACACTGGTGCTGTCTCTTGGCACATCAGGCACACCTGACCTGGATAAATGCTCCTTTCTGTCCATAGAGTGTCTGTTTCTGCACAGAGCTGCATCACCCACTGGCTGGAAACCATTTTCTTCTAAACTAAATTAAAATACAGCCCATTCTCCATCGGGAGAATGTTAATAGAGTGCAGAAACAGTTGTTCCTTTTAAGACTAGCATCTGTGTTTCTGATACTCAGCTCCTGCTTGTAAGAGGTCTTTCTGTTGATAAAAGTGTTCTGTTGACACTTTTGGGCCTACGATACCTTCAGAAAAAAGCAGTGTGAGTTGTAGAAAACAGCCTCTGCTGTTTCCTAGGCAGGGTCCTGGACCCCTGAACAGTGCTAGATGGAGGGACATTGCTCCTCCTGAAGTACCCTGCTGTCTGAAATCCCTTCTGCCCCATCTTCAAGGGCTTCTGTCTACCCCTGGCCTGGCAGAAACAGCTGTGGAGATGTGTGATAGTGGCTAACTCAATGAATAAGCCTCTGCCAAGAGCAGAATTACATCATTGGAGCCAATGCTTGGAACCACCTCTTGTCAAACTTTCTGACACTTCCACCTCAGCTTTGTTCCCTGTGCCAGTTTCCAGATCGAGTCCAAGGACTGGTGATTAACAGCTTGACTTTCCTCTGGGAATTTAGCCTTGCTCCCAAGGACTTAAACTGGTGGTTGGGTGGAGTAGTGGAAAGAATGTTTGTTAACCACGTTCTATTTAAAATACAAAGCAAATGTAGTGATGGCAAGAGGTGTCAGATGACAGGGACTGAGAACTGTTTTTATTCTGTTCAGAGCCTGAACAGATGCAGGCTGGCTTTCCTTCCTCAGCTGCTGGGGTCTTCAGTCACTCTTGGAAGGGTTGGTTGTGCAGAGTATTTCTTTCCTTATGTGAACACTAAATATAAGAGAAATCAGTCTTTTGTGAGGACCGTTGCCCAGGACCAAAGCTCTGAGTGATGCTTGTTTTACTCGTATGGAGGCAGTAGATGGAAAAAAGGCCAACCTTTAAATGGTTTTGAGGCAAAGTAAGAGGTTTCTCTGCTCTCCTACAGATGAGGCACCAAAGCTCTTTATGCATTTCCAAACTGTGCTTTCAGATTTGGTATGATTTTGGTGGGATTTATTGATGAAATTGAAGCTAATTTTAAGACTGTTTTGTGTGTTTCTCAAAAAAGCCCCAAAAATCCCATGTTATTTGGTTTCCAAATCAACTTGTTTCTTCAATTTCAAAATGCATAAATAAAAAGGTTTATGTTGAAGCTATCACTAGCTGAAAGAGACTAGTAGTATATAAAGTATTTGCTTTTCTTTATAAATGACTGAATTATTGAAGATCTTATGAGATCTTATATTTTTTTTCAGATATTTGTCTCAATTTAGGGTGGAACTGTTTTTAAAATTAATAAAACTTTTGCACAGCATAAAAATCCACTCCCTGTACAACTTTATGAAATACTCTGAGGCTTGACCGCAGTTTAATAAGAAAGGAGTATTCTCTTTGTTTTCATCTGCTTTGTCTGCAACAATTATTTTTACTTTAATTTTTAAGGAGTGAGAGTAGTGTAATTAGTATTACCTTGATTCCTTGCAACTAGAATCCAGAGAAATGCTGTCAGCCTTGTTATGTCTCATAAGCTGTCACTTTGTTTCAAACAAAAATTTGAAGGCGGGTTTTTAAAAATTAGCAAGTTTAAAAATCTGTCTGCTCCTGCAGTGATGAGAAATCATCTGACTTTGTTAGTTGCTCAAATCCCAAATATTTTAGAAGTTGGAAAACCTTGCAATTTCCTAAAAAAACACTGTGATGGAAAATTCAACCTGTCCTTTAGGGCTGTGTCCAGCCTTAGACTAGGCAGGTTCTGTGACTTTATGTCAGTGTAGAGTTACCAAAGCAATGTGAAAAAGAGGCTGACTCCATATACATATATATATATATATATGTATATGTATATATAATGTTTGTATAATGAAATGTTGGTTTGGTTTTCAGTTTTTTGCTTTCCCAACAACTGAAATCCAGAGTTTCTTGGAAAGAGAAACTGCCTGGAGCATGGGCAGGATGTTGAGGAACAGTAGGATGTGCAGCAGTGCTTTGGGTCTGCTTACGTACCCTGCACTTTTTGCAATTGCCCTTTTAGGACGAAGTTTAAGAACTCCTTTTTACTTCATTCTTCTATCCACTTTTATTTTTGCATTTTGAGTGTAGCAACTGCACCCTTTGTAAGCTATCTGCTGGCATAAGTCTCTGGACAGGGTAATAACTCCCAGGTTCATTTGGGGCTGTGTGCCAGCATGGTGAGGGTTTAAAAGGGAGATTCTTTGGGAAGCCTCAGAAAAGAGGCAGCTGTTTGAACGGCTGTGGTTTATTCTGGTGCCAGCCACCCCCGCTGCACCTGTTGGCACTTGAATTATGATCATTTCGTGCATAGCAACTCAATAAGGCAAGGTAGGACTTTAATAGAACAGGCTGATACCCAGTTGGGGATTAAGGCAGTTTAACGAGCACTTAAGGAAGAGAGAGGAGTGATATTTAAGGGCAGGGATGTAACAATACTTCCCTGAGCTATGACTATTTCCACTGTTGCTGCAGAAGGGGGAGCTGGCCTCTTCTTGCCTGTTACTTTGTCTGTTCCCAGTTAAAGAGCTCTTCAGGGTGCCTGTAACTTCTGATTGCTCTTTCTAGTTGTCCATAGAGCTGTAAATAAAGGCAGAAGGTAGAAGTCTTCCCTTAGAGTGCTGTTTGCCTGCTGTTGCAGCAGCACTGAGGAGATTTTGCTGGGAAAAGTGGCTCTGCACTGTCCCCTGCTGCAGGGCCACCCTGCCTGGTTTTGGATCTTGCCACCTTTGGAGCTGTTCTGACAACAGATACCAGGTGGTCTTCTCCCAAAAATGTTCTAAGTGCTGATTTTGGTGGTATGCCCTAATTAATTACTCCTCCTCCCAGACCCTCCCAAAAATATTTTTTTCATTAAGATCAAGTGAAGTGACCTACTGGAAATGT